CGTACCAGAGAAATACCAGAACGCCACACAAGCCGACCTGCAATAGGCAAACTCGCGCAAAAAACCTCAGCCCGGGAAACAAGAAAATGACCCGGGCAATTGCCTGCGAGGGAAAGCGGGAATAGGAGCAGGAGGAGGAGGAGGAGGAGGAGGAGAGAGAGAGAGAGGAGGAGGAGGAGGAGGAGGAGGAGGAGGAAGAGGAGGAGGAGGAGGAGCAGGAGCAGGAGCAGGAGAAGGAGGGCCCGAGGAAGGCAGGAGGGGGAGCAGGCATTGCCAGGCAGAGCCGTCCGCCCATGGAGTGCCCTTCAGGGCTGGGCCGTCGAAGCAGGGCTGCTCTCCCATCGGATTGACGAGAGCCCCCCCATCTCTCTTTCTCTCTCTCTCTCTCTCTATCTTTCTCTCTCGCTCTCTCGACTAGGGCCTCTGATCTCGCTTCAGTGAGAATGCGAAAACCCACCCCCACCTCCACTCCCGACGCCCATCCCCGAACCCGCGATTCAAGGAGTCGGAACTGGGGGCGGGGTGGGTTGTCGGGATCCAGGAATGGAGAAAACCCACCCCCACCCCCAGTCCCGACCCCTTGAATGACCGGCTCGGGGATGCGCGTCGGGACTGGAGGTGGGGGTGGGTTTTCGCCCTCTGATCTAGCTGTGATTCTAACCGAGCTCTGCCAGGCTGGGTAATGCATGATGCGAGGTGCTCGTCCCCTTTCGTGTCCACGCCACTCCGCACGAGCAGCGAACGCATCCACGTCGACCCCCTCGCGGTCTGGACTCTGGGGCACGATCCTGTGGATATGCGGTCGCATGGCTACGCCCCGCGTGGGGCATCCGCGGGAAGAAAGAAAAAAAAACAAAAAAAAAAAAACGCTCCCCATCCACAGAGCCGGGGCGCAGAGGCCAGGGGCCCGCGAGGCCGTGGACATGGATGCACACATATCCCATCTGCGGGCTCCTCCCGCCCCTTCGCCCCCCCGCCCCCTGCCCTCCACACTGGAGCGCTGGAGCAAATCCCAGCAGGGGCGTCCTGGCCCCAGCAAGAGTACACCCCGCGAAATGCTTAAGAAATCATGGGTTAAGAAATTCATAGTCTCAGAACTCGAATAAAAAACCCAACATTTCTATTAAATCTTAAGATTTACATTGAAACGTTAAGAATAGTCGAGACTCTGGCCGAAAACTTAAGTTTTCTTAAGCATCGCCTAAGGTGTACACAGGCCCGAAGGGAGCACGTCAAGCAGGAGTGCACATCGCAAGAAGAATTCAGGCCTTCGGGCACCTGGACGGGGCGGAGGGGAAGGAGAGGGGGGGGGAGGATATCCAGCGATGCAGCAAAATGACTATCCTCCTTCTATCGGGCGCACGCTCATGTGGATTAGGGATCCAAGGATCTGGCGCGTGGGCGCCAGATCCACGAATCGGGGAAAACACCCCCCGAAAACATGGCGCCAATGCAGCCCGATTTCGCGACGGAGCACGCCGATTCTGCACGGAAGCCGGGCCCGTCGTTCATCTGTGCGCCTTGATCCATGTTTACACGTCCTTGATCCTCCCCCCTGTCCCCCCTTCTGCTCCACGAATCCCCCTGGCGGTTTACACCAAGCCCTGGCACGCCTCCTTCCCACTTTCCGCGCGCTCTTCTTCCACATGTCGAACAGCATCGGGGGCTTGAAGTCTGGAACATTCTTGTTGGGAACTTCGCCACAGATCACATCCATGAACCTGCCACTTCTCACGACGTCTCTCCCTCGAGCGTGCACACTTGTTCCTCAGCAGTCTGCTGCGCTGACAGCCTGACGGCGCTGCGATACCCATTTCCGCGTAGCATACACGCAAGGATATGCACGACCTGCAATGCGCGCGCATGTTCGCACATGTTCACATACTTTGACCTCCGATGACTTTCCGGGCCCATCGAGCCGGAGGCGTGCTACATGATTACAGCAGGGAATGTCAAGTAAGGTGGGTTCCAGGCCGCGCGTGCGAGGGCGCCTCCCTCGGGGGTCTGCGAACCTCACTGGGCCCCCAAAAAAATGCACCTGGAAGAGCGGAAGCGTGTCAAGAGCTGACCAGAGCGCACCAAGAGCCCCTAGAAGCGCGCCAGGAGCGCGGCAGGAGCACGGATCCAAGCGTGTCAGGCTGCATGCTGGCCTCTGGCATCGAGGTGGCCTCAAGATAGCCCTGAGATAGTCCAGCATGGTCCAAGCCAGCCTGATGGACTGCAAAGACGGCCCAGGATGACCGAAGAACCTTTCATCGGATACTCTCAAGATCTTGATAATCATACGGGAAAGTGTGTCTATGCTGTGGTTGGTCTTCTCGCCCTCCAGGCTCCAATGGGTAGCCCTCGGAGGCACCCAGACTCGCCAAGAAGGCCTCAAGAGGGCTCAACGGGAGACGCACGGGGGACGAGAGCGCGGGTCAATGAGCACCAGGCCGGAACACTGCTCCAAGATGGGCCCACGGTGCTCCAAGAGTGTGCATAGGTGGCCCCGAGATGGACCAACAGTGTCCAAGACAGCCCTTCAGACTGCAAGCACACCCGAAGATGGCTGAACATGCGTCCCTCATAGACCCCAGAGAGGGCCTAGGTCATTGAAAAACGGGCATGTCTGTCGTGTGGACGGCGTGTGCGACCTCCGCCGCATGGTCTGCCAAGAACTCGCATCGCCACAATCCTTGACAAACAAAAAAGTACCCCTAACCCTTTGGGAGGGGACGGGACCTAAGTTAGGAGGGCCAAAAAACATTAGGAATAGGAGGTCTGCTCTGCAGATGTATCAAACCAAACCGTCCAGATGTCTCATCCCTAATGCGAAGACGGGGACCGAAGTGAGGCCACGTCTTCATCGTGTTTTCAGGATTAGGGGTTCTCTTGATCTCGAAGAATCCTTGTCCCCACTCCCATCCTCAAAAAGGTCTTTGGGGCTTCTCCCGGAGTCCTCCCCGCAGCCAGCGCATGCCGCAAGGCCCTGCGCCCCAGAGGGCGGGCGGACCTGACGCCCACTTGCCACTGCCTTGGGATCAGACTGGGATCGCCTTCGCACGCTAGCCTTGGGCTGTCCTGGTGGCTTCCTAGGGGGCCCTCTTGGGCCTTCTCTGATCCTCCCTGCCCCCTGAAGCCCTCTCGGAGTCATGCTGGGCCGAAGAAAACCATACGAAGCCAGATCTAACACCGTGCCCTCTGGCACGTTGAAGTGCTAGAATGACCAAGAGGGCCCCGAGACCACAAGAGGCGGCACCAAGAAGGCGCCGAGAGAGCCCCAAGAGACCTCCAAAACGGCTCCAGGAGACCAAGAGGGCACCAAGACTGCACGGTGACGCCCCGAAGATGACCTCAGAAGGCCAAGAGGCCGCCAAGAGGCCCCCAAGAGGCCCCCAGAAGGCCCCCAGGAGGCTCCAAGAGCGCCCAAAGAGGCCACCAAGAGGCCTCCTCCTCCTCATCATCCTCCTCCTCCTCCTCCACCTCCTCCTCCTCCTCCTCCTCTTCCTCCCCCTCTTCCTCCTCGTCCTCCTCCTCATCCTCCTCCTCCTCCTCCTCCTCACTCTGCTTCTATTCTGTCTTCATTCCCCGAATGTTCCCCCAAGGGCTTTGACAACGGCTGTAGAACACGTAGTCCAATAGCTTTGCCAAACTTCGGCCCCATGTTTGGCCACATCGACGTTTCCAGAAAGGCAGGGGGCAACGGTGACTCGCCGCAGGCGTCTCCGATCAAGGCGCCTCATAAAAGACTATCACTTTCTAAACACCGTGGGCGGTGGTGCCAGTCCCATTGGGGGGTGCTCCATTGAATGAGCTGCCGTACGCGCGCGTGCACGTATGCCAACGAGAGCGTTGACTTCACAAGCGCATGTGTGACCTGGGCACGTGCAGGGGCTCGAACGGGCGAGCGAGGCGCAGACGAACGAACCGAGAACCGCCGCTTAACGCTTGCCAGCTTCCCTCCCCCTCTCCCGTGCATCTCCAGGAGGAGCAGCAGGGGGGAGCAGGGAAGAGCAAGAACAGGAAAGAGGCGGGAGAGAAAGAGGAGCATGAGAAGGAAGGGCCCAGCAGATACCCAGACCCCCGACTTCGCGAGTTGCTCAATCCACAGACCTCCGAACTCTCGACCTCTTTCCAAGGACCGTATCTCTGTCACTGATCGCTGTCTCACGGCCCCGGAGACCGAAACGGCCCTCCGGATGCCGTGAGATGGAAGGGAGTCGACCGTCTGCACTCTCTCGTGGCAAAGGAGGCCTGGGGAAAGGATGGTGAGCCGATCTCACGGAACAGCAAAAGAGCAGGGAATGTCCACTCGAACTGCTCCCTCCTCGGGGGGGGGGCACAAGAGGGGGGAAGGGGGCAAGCTAGGTGCGCTCGCACCACATCTGACATCATCTGCCGCTGCCGCCCTTCCATCCCTTCCCGTTGCGCTGATTGCTTCTCTGTCCGCGGACGCGCGTCGGGGAGAGGGTGAGGAGGGGGGGGGGATGAGGAGAATCGGCAGATACGTGGAGGGCGAGGCCGGGGGCGGGGGCGAGGGGGGGGCGAAGGGGGCGAGGGGGGAAGGGGGGAAAGAGGGCGAGGGGCAGGGGCAGTGGCAGGGGGGAGGGAGGAGAGAGGAGGGGGGAGGGCAGGCAGGGGGAGGGGGCGAGGGGGGGAGGCGAGCCCGGGGGCGAGAGGCACGGGGGGAGGGGCGCCCGCGGCGGAGCGCCGTGGCGGCGGGGCCTCCGTGCGCCCGGCCCGGGGATCTCCCCCTCCCCCTCCCCCTCCTCCTCCTCCTTCTCCTCCTCCTCCTCCTCCCCCCTCCTCCCCCTCGTCCTCCTCCTCCTCCTCCTCCTCCTCCTCCTCCTTCCCCCTCCTCCTTCCCCCCCCTCCTCCTCCTCCTCCTTCCCCCTCCTCTTCCTTCAGCCTCCTCCCCCTCTCCGCTGCCTCGACCTCCCCTTCCCCTCACTGACCTCTCCTCCCTACCCCTTACCCCTCTTACTCCTGCCCCCGACCCACCCACCCTCCCCCTTCCCCGTCCCAATTCCCCTCGTCCCCCCGCCCCCCCTCAAACCCCCACGCCTCTTACCCCTGCTCTCCTCACCCTCCCCCAAACACCTCACCTCCCGGTTGTTCCTGGTCGGGGCTCCAACTGCAGTCAAGACTCACGGAGAGGGCGCGAGGTGAGGGTGCAAGAACGGACAGGACAGCGGCCCATGGGGAGGCGGTGCGGCTCACCTACCCGGGACGAGGAAAAGGTGCGTCACGCATCAGTACATGTCGACTTCATGTGGTGGCTTACGCAGCCGCCTCAGCTGCAGGGTGCATGGAGGAGAGGGCGCTTACGCGTGACCCTGCCTGGGCGGCTAACGTTCGAATCTCCACAGCTGGAGCAAGGAGGCACGAGGAAGGAGATGGAGGAGGAACGGTAGATGAGCAGGAGTGGGAGAGGAAAGAGAGAAGAAGGGCAAACGCAGGAGCAGCATAAGGCAAAGGAGGGGGAACAGGAGGATGCCCCAGTTCCCTCCTCACCCTTGCCCCATCCCTCCGCGCCAATCTGCGGGGTTCTCATCGGTCGGCATCCCAAAGCCGTGGCCCTCGAAATACACCTGCTCAGGCCGCGGCGCGAGGGAGCGGGGAAGAGGCGCGAGGGCGCGCGCGCGCGCCCGAGCCCGCCGACTTCTTCCTCTTCCCGTTATGATTAGTACGAATATGATGCTTACTGTTATGAGTGTCATACGTATTACTAGATTGAGCATTATTAGTACAGCTACTTTTGTTATGAGCCGTCGTTTCGTTATGAGTTAGCAAAGACGTATTACTTTTATAAATATGAGCCGTACTCATACTATTCTTGCTATCCGAAGTACTACCAATGTTACCCTTACGACTGTGGCGAGTGTTCGTATACTAACTCTTCTTATTCAACAACATCAGCAGCAGCATCGAAATCGTCATCAGCATCATCATCGTCGTCATCCTCATCACCATCATCATCATCGTCCCCATCATCACTATCAACAGCATCATCATCATCATCATCATCATCATCATCATTATCAGCATCAGCATCATCAGTACCATCATCAACAACATCATCATAGTCATCAGCAGCAGCAGCCGATTCAACAACATCAACACCACATCAACTTCCACACCAACAGAAATACTAGCATGATAATCATCGGCATCATCAACATCAGCAGCATAAGCATAATCATAATCATCATCAGCATCATCAGCAGCAACAGCAGATTCCGCACATCAGCATCATCAGTATCATCATCATCAGCAGCAGCATCAAATCAGTGTCACAATCATCAGAGTCATCACTAGCATGATCAGCATCATCATCAAGCTCATCATCAGTATCGCCACCACCACCATCATACCATCATCATCACCATGAACATCATCATTGTCATCGGCAGCAGCATCCGGTTCAACATCATCAACAGTAAATTCAAAATCCACATCAACACAACAGCAACATGAGCATGAGAATCATCAACGCCATCAACATCAGCAGCAGAAGCATGAGCATAATCAGCATCAACACCATCAGCAGCAACAGCATCAGCCGATCCCGTACATCGGCATCATCAGTATCATCCGAATCATTATCAGCAACAGAAACAAACTCATATTCACAATCAGCATAAGCACCACTATCATCATCAGCAGCAGCATCATCATCATCAAGCTCAGCATCAGCATCGCCACCACCACCATCATACCATCGTCAATATAATCATCATCGTCATCAACATCATCGTCATCAGCAGCAGCATCCGCTTCACCATCATCAACAATAACGTCAAACTCAGCATCAACACCAACAGCATTATGAGCATGATAATCATCAACACCGTCAACATCAGAAGCAGAAGCATGATCATAATCGTCATCAACATCGTCATCAGCAGCATCAGCATATTCCTTACATCAGCATCATCAGTAGCATTATCATCATCAGCAGTATCACAATCATTGTCACAATCAGCATAATCATCACCAGCATAGCATCATGATCATGAAGCTCGCCATCTGCATCGCCATCACAGTCGCCCGCATCAACATCAGACTCATACTCGTAATCAAAAGCATACGCATCACCAGCAGCGTCATCAACATCGTCATCATCAGCAGCGACAGCAGCATCAGAGCATCACAATGGTGTCATCATCAGCATCATAATCACCATCATCATCAGCATGATCAGCAGCAGCATCATCGTCATCATGATCAGCTGCAGTAGGGGAGGAGAGAAAGGAGGAGCAGGAAGGGAGAGAAAGAGGCGAGAGGTAGGAAAAGGCTGAAGAGAAGAAAATCAGGAGGTGCAGCATTAACGACGGCAACGGGGAAGCGGCGGAACAAAGACATCCATTCGCACACGCGTACCTCATGACGAAGCGTGAACCCCCGATGCAGATTAGTGCGCGCGCACCCACGCGCACGGACACGAGCGCACGTTTCGTGACGTTTTACAGACCCGTCACAGAAGAGGTCGCCACCAAGACGACGGACGCGCGTGCGCGCGCCGAGGAAGTGCGGGGTGAAGCATCATAGGGAAAGGGGGAAGGGCAAGCAGATCCGAGAAGCACGTGAGCACTGAACGCGAGAGAAGGACGCGGAAATCTGCAGGGGGCAGCCCTGCTTGTAGCATGTCAGCGCTTCTCTGGTGTCGAAGCTGAATCAAGGCTGTCTGCCCTTGGCTGCAGCTCCCAGAGGAGGCTGCACTTGAAGCGTCTAGTGAGAATTGCTGGTTGTAGCCTGGGGCACTGGGAGTACCCAAGGGTCCCCAAGCCCTGGGCAGTAAACCTCAGGAACTGCGGCAGGCACTGCGATTTACCTGCATTGCGCACCCTGTAGGTGCCTGGGGTTGGGGCCGTAGGGTAAACAATATCCGAAAGTGCCAGACAGATAATCACACCAGCCCTCTGGGCGTGAGTGGTTTAGGGAGTTGGTTCGTCCAACCCCCTGGATTCTCCTTCGGGGAGGGGTTTACCCCTCCCCGATGTCCCCTCCGTCTGGATCTAGAGGAGAGGGGGTCGCGACCGATTGGAGCGTCCAAGACGACCTTGACAAGAAGGGACAAACATGTGATGTGTTCGCCTCCTACGGTCGGGTGGCTAGTATGGTATCTCCCTCTTCGTCGATCGAACTCATCCAAGCTGGGCCCAAGGTGGCCCCCAAGGCTCCCAAGAGTATCCCAAGAGGGCCCAAAGAGGTGCCCAGGAGGCCCGCCCCGAGAGAGAGGCCCTCAAGAAGTCCCCAAGAGGCTCCCGAGAGACCCCCAAGAGGCCCCAAGAGGCTCCCCCATAAGGGACCCAAGACGCTCCAAGAGGCCCCCGAGGCCGCCAAGAAGCCCTCAAGACGCCCCAAGAGGACTCCAAGAAGAGCTGAAGAGACATCCGAAGAGACTCCGAGAAGCATCCACAGGCACTTTCTGCTCGCCCTCCTCCTCCTCCTCCTCCTCCTCCTCCTCCTCCTCCTCCTCCTCCTCCTCCTCCTCCTCCTCCTCCTCCTCTTCCTCATCAGCCTATTCCGCCTCCTCCTTATCCTCCTCCTCCCCCTCCTCCTATCCCTCTCTTTTTCCCCCGCCTCCGGTTCTTCCTAAATCCTCTCCGTCTTAGGGAATGACGGCGTCCCCACCCCTCTATTTCACTGCATTATCCTCCACATCCCTGATCAGGGCAACTGGCCTGGGCATCGTTTCAGGATGGACTGATGGGGTTACGCGACGTCTCTAGAATGTACTCTAGAGTCTAGATTGATCCAAGAGTCACGTATGGCACATCATGAGCACATGAATAGCACTCCAAGCATCACAGCCGTCTGGGCAAAGGCTCTGCTCCTGAGGAGTCTGTTCCTCCTTCCGTCTGACATGACATGAGCCACCACCCACCGTGCCGCACAACACTGCGCAAAATATCCTCAAGCCATTTCGACTCCGCAATACGGTGCGGGCATTGAGTAAGGAGGCCTTAGATGAGGAATCCAGGGTCTGGAAGCCAGTGGAACTCCAATCGTGGATCGGCCATGGACATCACCGACGCCCTCATTGCATAAGGAATCCTCCAGGGTCTGGCGCCTCCTGGGACTGTTCCTGAACAAACGCCTCCACCGTACTGACTGTTGCAAATGCTCCTCATTTGGACGCCCGAAATGGGCACGGAAACAATGGGCACAATGCCCAACAGCAAATGTTGTCCCGAACCAACAGCGGCCGCTGTTGGGCAGGCGGCCTTCTCCTTCTGTCCCACATGGACACAGGCCGCGGCGGCGCGGACAGCGAGTCCTGTTCAAAGTGAACAGGACCTGCTGCTGGGCATTGTACCCACTCTTTCCGTATCAATTTCGTTCGTGCCGACAAATGCTCCTTCAGAGCCCCACGCCCCAACTCCCCAGCGCTCTCGGGGCTCCCCGCGCGACTCCCCCAGAGGCCGGAGGAGCCCCACGACGGCCCCAGTCGGCTCACAGGAGGGCCTCGAGATGGCCCAGGAAGGCCCCGAGACAGCCCAAGAGGGGCCCAAGGCAGCTGCCCCGACAGGGTCCCAAGAGGGCCTCGATGTGGTCCAAGAGGGCCACGCCACGAGACTAGCCAAGAGGGGCCCAAGGGGGCCGCCGCACGATGGCCCAAGAGGGCCCGAGCCACGAGTGGGCCTTCGGAATATGACAGAGTGCATATTCCTTGGGTCTTTGAAGATGCTCGCCCTCTCATCCCCTCGGGCTTCCGAAGGCCCGAGACGGCCCCAAAGGCCCTCCTGACCAGGCCCAGGACGGCCCCAAAGGCCCTCCTGGCCAGGTCCAGGACGGCCCAAGCTGCCCCGGACCCCAAGAGGGCCCCAAGACTCCCCCAGAGGCCCCATAAGCCAAGAGGACCCCAGCGGGACCCAAGAGGGGGGGACCACGAAGGGGCGGGCCCCGGGAGCCCTCCACCCCACGACGGCCTCCAATAACTCACAGCATGCCCCGTAGAAGGCTGCCCATGAGGCGCCCACGAGAGCCCCCAAGAGGCCCCCAAGAGACTCAAAGGAGCTTTCGAAAGGCCCCCAAGATGCCACCCATGGGTCCGAAGAGGCCTAGAATAGGCCCACTGTCCACGACTCAAGCAAGGTGTCCTCATGGGCAGACAGCCACTTGGTGAAGCGAAATGAAGCCATGAAAACTTGAGCACATGTATTCAGATCTGCAGTTCCAGTCATACGGCTTGGGAGAAGAGCCGTCGCAGCTCTCCAAGACAGCAACGATGCGAGTCCCTCTTGGAAGCGCTCCCAGAGGCCAGTAGGTATCACCTCCACCAGCGCCATCATCCCTCCACACACGACGGAAAAAAGACAGACGGAGCCGGGGCGGGGGCGTGCCTTGGCTCCCGTCGAGGGGCCGAGGTATACCGTGCGGCCGCCCTCCCGCGCGCGCGCGCGAGGGGGCGCGCGCGACCCAACCTCTCCGCTGCCCTGCCCGCGCCACCCCACCCGTTCCCAGCAAAGGCTTGCCCCACCTGTGGGGCGCGGCGCGCGACAAGCGAAGCCGTTAGTAAACGCACCCAGGCAAGGAATCGAACGAGGCGGGGTGCATAGTAGGCACCTAGTGCCGCTTGTTAGCGCCAGATATGGCAGTCGGGGTGGTGTTTCCGTTTTCCCCCCCTTGGGAGAAGGTGGTGGGAGGGGGGGGGGGAGGATGGAGGAGGAGGCAGGCGGGAGGGAGGAGGGAGAAGGCGGAGAGAGAGAGAGAGGGACGGAGGCGCAGGGAGAGGAGTGGGGGCCAGAGGGGCGGAAGGAAGGGAGGAGGGAAGTCGTGCAACTGGGGAAGCAGGCAGGGAGGCAGAAGCGGGCAAGCAGCAGCACGTGGGCGGGGTCGATCCTTGCGCCCGGCGTGAGCCAGCATCGTGGCACTGCGACCCACACTCAGCCTGGGGCAGGTGTCGCCGCTGGTTTCTGACGCCGAGTGCGTCCGACTCCTGGCCGCTGGCGGCATTCCGCCGTGTTCTCTCATCTGCGACTGGTGCGAATGGCAGCGACCAAAGACTCCCTGTAACGAGAGAAGCAGGAAAACGACGGGGAAGAAGCAGAGGGAGGAGGAGGAGGAGGAGGAGGAGGAGAAACAAAGGAACGGAAAAAAAGGGCAGGAAGAACAGACACGGATAGCTGAAGGGCACGCGAGGGGAGCGGGCGGGCGGATTAGAAAAAACAAAAAGGAGGATCCAGAGGAGGAGAAGGAGGAGGAAGGACCCTGAAGAGGATAGGATAACAACGCGGCTACCACGCGCGGTGGTGACAAATGCCCAGCTGGAAACGAGAAGCGCAGCGATGTTGGAAATGGCTAAGCGCGCACATACCCAATGTTAGACCTGCGAAGAGCTGCGAAAAAGCTGGGGGAAATGCAAAAAGGACGAGGAGGAGGGATGAGGAGGAGGAGGAGGAAGAGGAAGATGAGAGAGAGAACCTCCGAATTGATGTTCTTGTGGCATGGGCCCTCAAAGCCGCTGATCCCTTCCGGACAAATTGTTCGTGTCTGTTGCCACGAGGCCCGAAACGGGAAGCACTAGCCTCCGAAGGCCAACATCTATTTTTGGAACGCGCAGACCGCCCCAGTGTTTGACGTGAGGCCGGGGATATGGGGCTCCTGGGAGGAAGACAAAACGAGCGGACGGCAGGAGGGCTGCAAGAACACACGCAGGCTACGCACGGGTGGCCGCTGGTGGGCCCTCCTTGCCCAGCAGGAGCACGTCGCTGAAAAGCGTGAAGAGCGAGTAGCGCGGCTGGTGGATGACCATGATGCTGGTCATGCCCAGCTGGCACATCTTCCTCGAGCCGCCCTCTTCCCCTCCGCCCCACCTCCTCCTCCTCCTTCTCCTCCTCCTCCTCATCCCCTCCTCCTCGTCCTCCTCCTCGTCTTCATCCACAATCACCACCACCACCTCCATCATCATCAGTATCATCATCAGCAGCAGCATAATCATCATCAGCATCATCATCATCATCATCAGCATCATCATCATCATCAGAACTATGATCACCATCATACTCAGCATCGTCGTCATCATCATCAGCGGCATCAGCATCATCATCATCATCGTCATCATCATCATCATCATCAGTATCATCATCATCGTTATCAGCATCATCATCAGCATCATCAGCATCAGCATCATCGTCAGCAACCTCAGCAGCATCATCACCATCGTCGCTGGCATGATCATTAACAAAATCAGCATCATACTAAACATATTTATGAAACGTTCTGTACTAATAAGCACTACAAAACGAATATCACGAATTATAGCCATAATACGAACAATACTGTAAACCGCAATCCTAAAAGTAGTGACAATAGTACAAGCATCCAAAGAATACAACGGTAAAATACGAATAGCCATAATAGTGGTAGCAGTTAAGGTACAACTTATAATAGTACTGACACTAGTAATACTCCTGATAAAAAAAGAGCAGAAATACTAATACACATCATTATTAGCATCTTCATATTCATCATCATCAGCCTCATCGTCCTCGTGATCCTCATCATCCTCATCATCAGCATCATCATCGACATCGTCATCGCAATCGTCATGGTCATCTTGATCACCGTAATCACCATCGTCGTCGTCGTCGCCACCATCATGAGCACCACAAGCAACATCATCATCAGCATCATCACCATCATCACCATCCTCATCATCATCATCATCACCATTATGAGCATCTGCATCAGGTTCATCATCGTCATCATCATCAGCATCATCAGCATCTTCATCATCATCCTGATCATGATCAGCATCGTGATCATCATCGTCGTCATCACCACCGTCACGAACATCATCACCAGCATCATCATAATCACCAGCCGCATCGTCATCATCATCAGTCTCATCACAATCATCAGCATCAGCAGTTGCAGCAGCAGCGGCATCAGCATCAGCATTAGTATCAGTATCATCAGCGGCACCATCGTGTCACATCTACATCATAATCAGTATCACCATCGTCATCATGATCAACATCATCGTCATCATCAGCAGTAGCATCATCATCACCAGCATCGTCATCATTATTATCATAACCATCGCCCGTCATCATCACCATCATCACCATCATCAGCATCATCAGCAGTATCACCATCATCATCATCCTCGTCAGCATCACAATAAGTATCCCAAATATCCTCCTACTCCTCCTCCCCCATTATCATTATCCTCCTCCTCCTCCTCCCCACCTCCTACTCCTCCTCCTCCTCATCGTCCTCCTCCTCGTCCTCCCCCTCACCACCACCAGCACCAACAGCATCATCATCATCATCATAATCATCACCACCACCACCACCACCACCACCATCATCATCATCATCATCATCATCATCATCATCATCATCATCATCATCATCACCCTCATCATAATCATCATCGTCGACGTTGTCATCATCATAGTCATCACCACCACCACCAAGACCATCATCCTCATCAACAGCATCACCATCATCATCAGAATAAGCATCATCATAATCATCGTCGTAATCATTCTCAGCGGCACCAGTAGGAGCATCATCATCATCGTCATCAGCAGCATCATCGTGCCACATAATTAGTAGTATCATCATCAACATTATCATAACCAGCATCATTATTATCACAGTCATCACCCATCATCATCAACATCATCATCATCAGCATCATCATCATCACAATCATCGTCGTCATCATAGTCTTCATCATCATGAGCATCATAATCCCCGTATCGTCCTCCTCATCATCATCATCATCATCATCATCATCATCATCACCATCCGAAGTATCCTCATCTTCATCCCCATCCTCATCCTCATCCTCATCATCCTCCTCATCATCATCATCATCATCATCATCATCATCATCATCATTCTCATTATCATCACCATCATTGCCATCATCATCATTTACAAATCTACCTTCCTCATCTTCATCATCCTCACCCTCATCCTCATCATCCTCATCATCCTCATCATCATCATCATCATCCTCCTCATCATTATCATCAACATCATCATTGTCGCTGGCATCATCATCATCATCACCACCACCATCATAATCATCATCACCATCAGCAGCAGCAGCAACAGCAACAGCGGCATCAGCATCGGCATCATCATCATCAGCAGTAGCATCACCATGTCTAAATATGATTACTAGCATCATCATCAGCAGCAGCAGCATCACCATCATCGTCATGATCAACATCATCGCCATCGTCACCATCGTATCGTCCTCAGCATCATCATTACCATCATCATGAGCGTTATCATCATCATCATCATCATCATCATCATCATCATCGTCATCATCACCATCATCGTCATCATCATCACCATCGTCATCATTATAATCATCATCCTGCTCCTCCTCCATCCTCATCCTCCGCCAGGGACTCCAAACACGCTCGCCAAACGATTGCGGCGATCTGCATCCACGCTCCGTGGAACGCGCCGGACCACGCGCGGTGTCTGTCGCCCCGCGGCCAACGGCGCCTCCGCAAGGTGTCAGAGTGAACGCTCGCAGCTCTTGTCGACTCGTCGTGCGTTCCATCAAACCCCCTCAGCCATCCTGATCTGCCCCCTCCTCCCGCCGACGATTTCGTCGGCCATCCACCTCCTCCTCCTTCTCCTCCTCCTCCTCCTCCTCCTCCTCCCCCTCATCCTCCTCCTCCTCCTCCTCCTGCCACTCTCACTCCCATCGCCAGGCCTTCAACTTGTGACCGTGACGAATTAAAGAACAATATGAAGACCATACCTAACCATAATAATTGGATGTAACACCTGAGCCGACAAAAAACAGTGACCCGACCACGACGACGACGACGACGACGACGACGACGACGACGACGACGTTCCAGCCAGACGCCATTCCTGCGGCGCTGAGCACCAGCGCCGAGCACCGGCGCGCTCTCGCAGGCGAAGGGCACCGCGCGGGCGCCCCGACGCCGCGCCCCCATCCGAAGCCCAGCGCTTCGCCCCGCCCCCCTCGGCACCGCCAGCACCGCCACACCGCCCCTCGCTAGCTCCGCCGCCAGACCGGCCCGCCCGAGCGGCCCGAGACAGCACTCGCTGGTGGGCGGCCCGACGTTTCCCCCGACGTCTGGCGCCGCGCCTCGGTGAGAGGCCCCGCGCCTCGCTCCCCTCCTCCTCATCCTCATCCTCCTCCTCCTCCTCCTCCTCCTCCTCTTCCTCCTCCTCCTCCTCCTCCTCCTCCTCTCTCCTCCTCCCCTCCTCCTCCTCCTCATCATCCTTATCCTCCTCCTGCTCCTCCTCCTCCCATCCTTCATCCACCAGCGCCTCAGCACCTCCTCCTGCTCCTCTTGCTCCTCCTACGCCTGCTCCTCCCCCTTTTCTTCCCCCCGTCCTCCTCCTCCTCCTCCTCCTCCTCCTCCTCCTCCTCCTGGCCCAGGCGTTGCATTTTTTTACATCGGGCGTTTGCGCCAGTATTTGGGCTCTGGAACCCTCACATATCAATCCAGCCCGAAGCATGGCGCAAAGAGACGGGGTCTAGAGCTCTGGTCGTGCTTTTTCGTGGTGTTGCAAGCGTGTCGCAGCGTAGGATCTCGGGGTCTTCACAGCTCGTTTCTCCGTCTTAATGGTGTTATGCGGCATGTGACAAAAATTCCACGGGGGTAAAAACGGAAGGGGAAGGAGGAGGAGGAGAAGAGAAGAGAAGAGAAGAGAAGAGAAGAGAAGAGAAGAGAAGAGAAGAGAAGAGAAGAGAAGAGAAGAGAAGAGAAGAGAAGAGAAGAGAAGGAGGAGGAGGAGAAATAGGAGGAGGGGTCGGAGCAGGAGGAGGTGGAGGCGGAGGAGTAGGAAATCTTTGTGGTGTGGGAAATTGGCACAGGGCGGGCCAATGCGTCCACGATTGTAATACACAAATCGAGCAGTAACAACATAACACCAACACTGAGATCGTCCACAGCAGCGGGAGAACTGGGGCACTCGGGAATGCTCGACAAGCGGCTGCAAACCAAGAAAAAGGCGCACAAGAGCATGAGTACACAGTGGGCGCATAAACGCACATCGGGCAGCTGAAGCAATAAAGTAGTTCACATACACCATGCGTGCCTGAACGTAAGATTCAGTGAAGACTTTCTTCGGGAACCTGACAGACAGGCCAGGAATATTTCGAAGCGACTGCAGCAGGGAAGCGGGGGGCGACCTACGACAAGGGAGCAGTCTGAGCAAAACACCTATTTGCATAGAAGCGCCACAGAAATAAGAACGGCAAACTACACCTTGTAGCGAGCAGTCGCGACACGCTGAAATGCAAGCGCTATGGGGAATTCCTCAAGAACGATTGGGGCGGCTTACGACCTAGAGGCCGGCTGGGCAACAGAAGCATCCCGTGACCGTTCATGTACGCTGGCGCGGGCATTCTGCATCTCCCAAGCAGACCGACACTTCAGGCGCCAAATTGCATCCAATGTACGGCTGGGGTACCCACTGATTAGGGTTGGAAGGCGTCGTCGAACTCGAACTGGAACTGGTTGCCGCTGGCGACCGCACAGAGTCACGAACATCGCGAGCGATGAGCATGAGCGCGCCAAATGAGCCCACGCGCGCTTCGCCCTCGGCGTGGCCAGCCTCGACCCCGCACAGACGAAGGAACCCAGCTCCATGAGGTGAGTCGTCGAAGCCCTGTCGCAATCGCGAACAAGTCCCCTGCTCAACAAACTGGATCGCCTTCGCCCAGAGGATGTCGGGCGGGATGTTCGCGGCCCCGCCTGTTTCGAAGTGGTGTGGTACTGGCCTTCTCGCATCCCGCTGCCGCCGCACCACAGGAATGCCTGTAACGCACGGCGATTTGGCGAACACTTGGATGCCACCTGCTCCAGTGGGCTCGCTTGCCGCTCCGCCCCTGCACTGGTCCGACTTGTTCTACACTTTCAGCACCTGCAGACTTTGCTTCAGTCCCTGGGTGTGGGCGCGATGCCGCTCCACAGCCATTGCCAGGGCGCCTCAGCAGTGGCCGGCCGCACTGGCCACTCTTGCCGAAGCTCGTCGTGCTGTGAATGCGCTCCCTCCCCCCGCCCGCACTCTGCGGCCGCCCTCTGCCCCTCTCCCTCTCGTGCTGCCGGACAATGAGCACGCTCCGCCCAGGCTAGTAGAGCGCGAGCGCGAGTTGCCTCTGCCGTGCCGCGACGGAAGAGCTGTTTCGATGAGGCTGGAGTCTGCGCGGAAGGGTCCGGTAAACGTTGTCCCAACAAGATATCGCCAGCAAGCGGGTTTTTTGGGGGACTCAACGCCCTCACTGCCTGAAGTGCAACGAGCTGTGTGGCAGGCGGCACAACACGCTCCAGCAGGGCGACCTGCTGGGATCTTCTCTGCCCAATTAGGCAGAGATGCGCCAGCAAGCGGGTCACCCGCCTCGCTCCCATAGCAGGCAACTCCACGAATGAGGCTGAGGAAAATGGTGGCGTGCCGCACGGCTGGAGAATGCGGCCGCGAACGTCCAATCACGGCGACCTCGTCAACTAGAGGGCGTGCTCGTTGACTGCCACCGCTTCCTGTGACCAGCCGC